GGGACTCCAGGATCATGACCTGAGCCGAAGGCAGTCGCTTAACCAACTGAGCCACCCAGGCGCCCGCATTTTCCTGTGTCATTTATGCATTATTTGAAAACATGGTTTTTGAATGTTTGCTCGATAGTCTACAAAATGGCTTACTTTTTTATTTTTATATTGTTACTTTTTAGAATCTTTTTTCATTTTTTGTAACATTGTGATGATACCCATATACATTAATCTTTGATGGCATCCATAATTTTTTTCCTTAGTAAAAACCCCCAACAGAAAATTACCAGATCAAATAATACAAATTCACTGACAGTTCTGGATATATATTATGAAAAATATTTCCAGTGTGGCCCAATTAATAATATTTATGTGTGGCAGCAGTGAGACATATTTCTCTGTGCACTTGACATTAGTATTTTTAAAAATTGGCCAAATTCATGGGCAAAATAACATCACATTTTGCTTTAATTTACATTTTTTGATTTATAGTGAATTTTGAACATTTTTCAGATGATGAATAACCACTTGTATTTTTTGTGAAAGTCTATGCTTTCTGTTTGTCGATGAGATATTAGAAATTTTGCCTGCAAAATCTCTTCATGTATAAAGGAAATGTGACCTTTGTATATTGCAGAATGTCCCCCAGATTTTTTAAAATACATTTTTGATGTACAGAAATTATAATTACATATTTGATCAAATATGTGTATCATTTCTTTTACTATTTTATCCATTTCTTTATGCTTACAAATTTCTTCCCATTCAAAACCCATTTATAGATTTCCTTATTTTTTCTAGATTGTAAATGATTTTATATTTCACATTTAATATTAAATGTATTCAAATTATTTGATTTATGATTTATGAAGAGGATCTAAATTTTTTTTTTACCTATGTCAGCCAATTTTCTAAGCATCATTAATCCGATAATCTTCACTGGTTGTTAATATTTCAGTGATGATAATATACAATATAAGATTCTTTCATCTGTAAGGATTTGTTTAAGGATCATATATATTATTTTCATTAAATTGAATTACCAATTGCAGGACAAATACCATCTTGTTGTATATTATAGCTTTATAGTGTTTTATTTAAAATATCTGCTAGAGCAAATCCTCTCACTTTTAGTTTAAAATTAAAATTTTTTTCTATTGTTGCTCTTCTTTACTTTTTTCCTGCAAAAACGAACTTTGGGTTATACATGTTTATTTATGCTTTAGATTGACTTTAAAATACTTTATTGTATGCCATCCAGCTGCACCTCCATCCCAATGGGATTGTATTAAATCTAAAAATGTTTTGGGGAAGAATTGACATCTTTGTAAGCTTTCTATCTAGCAATAGCATTTTTCTATTTAGTAGTATCATGTTTTCTATCCTAGATGTTAATTACACTCACATCTTCCTCCTTCAGCTTTTCCTCCTCTTCCTTCTTCCACTTTTCCTTTTTCTTTCTTCTCCTTTCTATGGTATTATGAATGGGATGCTTTCTCCATAGTATCTTCTAAAGCATTTATTATCAAAGTAGAAAACCTATAGTTTCTCTGTTTTGTTTTGTAGAGAGCACATATCTGGCCATTTACCCAACCCTTGTTGGTTCTCAAAATTCTAATTGGTTTTCTTTTAGTGAGTGCCTGAAAATACTGAGTTTTATCACCTCTTTATTCTTAAATATTCTTCTAATTTGGGTTGTTAGTTATCCATATGCTTTACTTTTTCTCTTATTTTCATAACTTTTTTCTTTTTCTCTGCACACTTGAAGAACTCAAGTTTTCTCTTGATGTTACTTTGAGTTTTTCACAAAGTAAATTTCTTAACAATCATGATTTTAATTCTGCGATTGTATTTTGTTCCTTACATTTTATTATATAAATTCAATCTTAGAGCAAAATTTAAAGACGTTTGCCATAAATTCTCATATATGTATATATATATACCCCTTAGATTCTCCATTAATATTGTCCTAATCTTGCTTTTTCATATATCCATCCAGCTCCCTATCCATCCATTAATATAACATATATTTGATACATTTAAAAGTAAATTGCAGATATTAGTGTACTTCCCCCTAATTATTTTAGCATACATATTATTAACTAGAATTGAATACTTGCTTAAAACTTTTTATGTAAAATCTACCTACAATAAAATAGACAAATGGTAAGTATACATTTGCTGAGTTTTGACAAATGCATATACCTGTGCAACTCAACCACTAAAGATAAAAATCATCATTACCTTGCAGAGTTCTCTCTTGCTTATTACAGTCAATCCTTCTGCCACCACCCCCCCCACCCCCCCACCGGGACAAGTACTATTCTGATGTTTTCCACCATAGATTAGTTTTACCTCTTCTAGAATGTCATATACATGGAATCACACAGTACACGCTGTTTTTTTTTGTAAGACTCCTTTCACTCAGCATGTTTTTGTTTATGAGATTTATCCATGTTGTTTTGTATATCAGTAGTTCATCCCTTTTTATTTCTGAATAGTATGACAGTGTATGGATATACCACAGTTTTTTAAACTTCTAATTCTGTTGATGGACCTAGGGTGTTTCATTTGAGTTTATAATGAATAAAGGAGCTATGAATTCTCTTGTACAAGTCTTTTTGTGAACATATTTTCATTTCTACTTGGTAAATACTTAGGAGTGGAAGTGCTTGGTCAATTACCATTTTTAATTTCTTTATAGTCCTTTCTTAGCTCACTTGGACCCATTTTCATCTGAATTTATTGGTTTTGCACCCTATCTTGCCATTTTTCACCTCACTTGCTTTCTCTTGACCTGAAGTTGTTTGCTTCATTGAGTCTATGTGTTTTTGCATCATATTAAAATTGCTAAACAGTTTCTAAATACTTTTTTTTCTGCTTCCTAAGGTAAATTATTTCTAGAAAGTATACTGTGTATTTCAGATTTTAGGTTAATATATTCATTTCTTTGGTGATATTCTGCATGGATCCTACATTTCTCTTTTTTTTCTACTTACGCTTGAACAAGGAGAGATCAATGCTGATCACATGTTTGTTAACTAGGTAGGTGAATTGCCTGATTCTACTCACTATCTTGCACAATGGATTAAAGCTAATAGCAGGTGAATGGGCATTACTTCCAGTACAATTCTCAATTTCTAAAAGATACTCAGAAATATGCTGGATGACAGTAGAAATTTCTTTTATGCCTATGGTTTATTGTCTGATCCTCTGAGCTGATGTAACACTTGGAATATCCATAGCATTTGCTGCAACTATGGAACTTTCTCTCCTTCCCACATTTACTGCTTTGTTTGAGGTGCCATACACTCCAGGTCTCTATGGAACCGCCACCAATTTCCCCTAAATTTCCTGCCTCGATGGTTTCTATTGATTGTAATCTGGTGGAAGTATAATGTTTGGGGGAGAGGAGGAATGAATCAATTCTCTGGTCAGCACAAAAAAGTAGAACCTCTGGATTGAGAGATGACTGCCTAGAGTTTCATTTAACATATAACTATTGGCTCAGCAGAAGGGAAGTCTGTAGTGGACAGAAAACATGTCTTTTGTTATTTTTTTCAGGTAGGCAGAGTTCTCCTTATTCATGAAGCGGTTCAGAATCAGGGCAAACATTGTTTTTTGCAGTCCAGTCTATCCTCTTTAAAGATAATGAGAATAATTTTAGAATTCCAAAATGTTTTGATTGATCAAACTTGGTTTTTAGTGTTGTTGTGAGCTTCCTTATTTTTCTGGCTTATTGAGAAGTTGAAAAATATTGCATTGAAAGTTGCTAGCATAATTTCATTTTAAGAGTGAGTTCCTGAGGGGCGCCTGGGTGGCTCAGTCATTAGGCGTCTGCCTTTGGCTCAGGTCATGATCCCGGGGTCCTGGGATCAAGCCCCCGCATCGGGCTCCCTGCTCCGCAGGAAGCCTGCTTCTCCCTCTCCCACTCCCCCTGCTTGTGTTCCCTCTCTCGCTGTGTCTCTCTCTGTCAAATAAATAAATAAAATCTTTAAAAAAAAAGTGAGTTTCTGATAATAAATATCATGAATATCATGTACTAAACTTGAAATATAATAATAATAATAATAGCAAACACACAGTACTTTCTATGTACCAGGCACAGCTGGATGCATTATTTATGTGTAATCTATTCCTAGCACATGAGATCTTTGGGACAGGAATCAGGTGCTGACTTGATAGCTCTGGCACCGGTAAAGTGCCTGACATATGGTCTGTACTCCGTACTATGACATGTCATGTTGGGAACTGAGCTAGATATTTAGCTGAGAGATAATTTCAAACAGAATAAACAAAATCGTTTTCCCTCCATTTCTGTCACTGTGTCTCTGTCTATATTTCCAACTCTTCATCTCTTTCCCCATCTCTTATTTAGTTTAGGGATTATAATGGGAAATTAATGCAATTTTAAGATGATTTTTAAACAAAGATATATAAAAACAATTCTTTTCTTAAAGGTAGTTTAAAAGAACTCGTCATCTTAAAAAGATGACAAGAGGCGTCTGCTTCTTCACTCAGCAAGCTCCCTTGGTCCTGGAGGCCCTGCGTGAGAAGCTCCAGGGCCCATACTCTGATGGCCCTTGAGGCATTCCGATGTAGATATGTAAACAAATAAATCATTTCGCAATATACTCAGGGCCAGAAGGATGGTATGAATAAAGCACTAAAGAAAGAGATTAGAAAAACTTTCCAGAGTTGCAAATGGCATGAGGTAAAATGTATAGATACTTAGCCATCTTTTTTTTTTTTTTTGGATCAAATAATACAATGTTTATTTACATAAATCATAAATTTTGGCCTTTCATAAAGCTGAAAGACTCACATTTTTGTTAGATACTTTTCTTTTTTTTTATTATGTTATGTTAATCACCATACATTACATCATTAGTTTTAGATGAAGTGTTCCATGATTCATTGTTTGTGCATAACACCCAGTGCTCCATGCAGAATGTGCCCTCCTCAATACCCACCACCAGGCCAACCCATCCTCCCACCCCCCTCCCCTCTAGAACCCTCAGTTTGTTAGCCACCTTAAAGATGAAGAACTATTTGAATCCCAGAAAGGTTAGTAACTTCTTCAGCTAACTTTTGATGAGTGGTCAAACTGCAATTACTTCCCACTAATGGAGCCTGGATTAGCCTAGACCAGTGCCTTTTCCACATTTTCATGTTGTGTCCATATGATGGCCCTCTTCCTGAATCCTGGAGAGAAGACCCCTAGAGGCTGGCTTCCAGCTCCTTTTGCTTGACCTGGAACGAAGCCTCCCACAGGTCCCTCTTGGGGCTTGCGATGGCTGAATAGCCGGGACAGTTCTCACTGAGATCCTTCCAAAAGGGCTTGCCTCAGAGACTGGCCTGGACAGGAGCTCAAGAAACCCCTCAAAGCCAGCTTGGACCATGGTCATGAGCTTGTTTTCTTTCAGGTCTCTTGTTTGGCGTGCTGTGTACCTCCATGGCTGTGGCTGCATCCCTCATGGGAGGCGTCGTGCAGGTAATGAAAGAGAAAAAAGACACCTTTGATTTCAGAGCAGCTCTTTACCCACTTTCTTTGCTAATGCTTTGCCTGTTCCTCCAAGCACCATATGCTGAGACTCCCAGATACCGGGTCCGAATTAAACATACATGTAAAGTTTCAACTGAAATTACTTTCAGAAGGAAAAACTATTAAAAACCAGTAATGGAAATCAGTGACATGGGACACTGTAATTAAATTAGAAGCCCTTTTAAAATCCAGATCTGAGAATATATGAGCCTGAAATAAAAGTAGAAGTGATTATTATAATAGCAAAAAAAATCAGAACAATTGCTATTAATGGAAGAGTTACTACGTTCCAGGTACCATCCCAGTGTATTACTTCATTTAATCACTTCTCCCAGGGTATTATGATTCATGGACTGACTTTACAGATGAAGAAACTAAGAAGTAGAGAGGTGAGGGGATTGTCCCAGAGTCACAGAGTTAAGGAGTGAGGGAGTCTACCTCTACCTGCCTCCCATCTGTCCAACTCCCATTTCCAGAAAAGGATGATGCTAGAAGGAGCCCCAAGGATAATCTGTTTCAGCATCTTCATTTTGGAGATGATTATAGAAAAGAGTGAACATATCCTGCTCAGGTTCTCACAGCCGATCAGTGGCTGAGTTTATGTCCCTTGTCTCCCGAGCCACCTCTCTTCCCTCCGCAAATCACCCACCTCTCAAAACAACAGCAGAGAAGCCCATCTTCTCATTCTGCTTTGACCCTCTCCATCCCACTTGTATCTTTGCATCATTTCAACATCCTTTATATTATCTCGGCATGGCATAGGTTTTCCAATAAATGTTGCATCAACAAAGAAATGCATAAGGGTGCATGAGGAGTAATCACTGACTTTTATAGAATGCATTTTCGTTTGCAGAGCTGTGCATCTTCCTTGATCCTTCCAACGATGACTTATGCAGATTCTGTTCTTCCCATTTTGAGCTTCAGGGAGTAGGTCAGGGAGACTGAGGGACACGGTGATTCAGTTGTCTACATAAGAGTCTTTGGGACTGGAAATCCGGTGCCCTCTCCAGTAAGCTAGGAACTTACTGTTTCATCACAGATGCTTGATAATCTCTTCCCAGTTTTGGGGGCACTTTGATGTTTGCCCATCCACACAGTGGAACTGGCAGTTTTAGTGACCTCAGCAGCTTTCCCAGGGACCACATTTCCAAGTCGACTCTGAGGCCTTGGGCCCCATTGCTTCCTCCCCTTATCCCAACATTTACTATTAAGAAAGTATCATGACGTTGAATTTAGTGAATATTTGAATCTCTATTTTGTTGTCTCCCAGAAATGTTTGCCTTTTAATCTTACTTCCAATTGTGGTAGGAAGGGCTTTAGAATAGACAAGGACCCCTCCAAGACTGGTATAAAGTAAAGCTGACTATGAAGAGGGAATGACTGTGAATGATGTTCTCATCTGCTTGTCCCACTGCTTATCTGCTGGGCCCACTTTCTTGATTGTTTACAATGTAGGCCCCACAGTTCACACAGTTTAGGAGATGCTATTTAGCAACAGATGGCAATTCTGAGTTCTGGTTTCCTAGAGATATTGTCTATAGGATGGCCCTCTCCTTTCCTTGAATATGTCTGATTTAACAGGTACAGAAAAGCACTTATAATTCCCCTATTTAATTTTACAAACAGCTTTGCTGTATTGAACATAATGGGACATTCATGTTCAGGTTTCACAGATGGGAAGACTGAAGCCTAAGTCCTGTGCACCTGAGGAATAGAGCCAGGTTTAATTTCATGTTCACAAAGCCATCCCATACTCATGGTATGTGTTTGTGGGTGGTGCTAGGGGTGGGCAGCTTGAATCCTCTTCAACAAAGGTCTTTTTACTGTTTTAGCTTAGGACTTTATAAAGTGTGTTCTGAAGACTTTCATCCTGTGAAATACTGTAAGAAAGCAAGTTTCCAATGTTAGAGACATTTGGGAAATGCTCTACACTACATTCCCCTCTTAGAAATCCACAGCCATTTTAGCATATTGAAGGCCCTGGGAAGTCCCAAAATAAAGAAACCTGTTTCACTTTATTTTTTATTTTTATTTTTTAAAGTTTTACTTCTTTAAGTAATCTCTATACCCAACATGGGGCTTGAACT